TTTTTTGGTTGCAGCCGTCGTTGTTGTCTGGCGGGTCCGGGCTGGGGATTCGAACCCGCCACCTTAGGTGTACGTGGCTGGCGCCTTAGCCGGTTGAGCTATAGGCGCCGAGCCACTTTTACTGAATTTTTAAATTATTCTTATATTCTGTTCACTTTTGAGTATTTGAAATTCACTGGTGTTTGTATATTCACTTTTTTGATATGTGTTTTCATATCAAAAATTTTAAATGATTGTCAATGATTCTTCTATTACTCCACTTCCGTATTTCTGTCCTCATTTTCATTAACATACTTCTAGAATGAAGTCTTTTTGCTGCTTCATTTTACTTATAACTGGTGCCTCTTTAATCTCTTGAAACACAAAGATAAAGAAATGTTCTTGTCCTAAAATAATGATACCTTTGAGTCTCTGCCCCACCACATCTTTCTTCTCTCTAGGTGATGTCACTCCTGATTCACCCACCTAGTTGCATCATGCAGATTACCCCTCAATCTGTCTCTCCAAGCCTAACCCCTAACTCAAATTTTAGAATTTCATGCTGGATATTTCCAGTCTTTTAGTTTATCAGATGTATTTCCACTATTAATGAAGTTATTTCCAGTCCAGTTTTCTATTTCTGTAGCCTCCTAGATTTGTAGTAATTGTTGGTTCCTCCCTATCACACTTTCTGATCAGTTATAGCATCTTGTGATTTCTACTTTAATGTACTACACTTACAGTGGTCATCATCCTATTTTAATCTATTATCGCAGGGTGCTGGAAGTATTTCAATAGTCCCTTTCCATCTGACTCCATTTCCTCTCCCTCCTTAGGAGATAACGGAAATCTTTAAACAGAGCAATGCCATGAAAGGTGATGCTCTGTAAGAAAGATAACTTTGGTAGTATTGTAGAAGATGAAGTGGAGAAGGTAGGGCGTTGACGCTCCTTAATGAAGCCATGTAGCTCGGAACTGTGGCGATGGAGAAGGATGTAAAAATCGGAAAGTTGACTGGTGACCTGGAATGACTTACCCAAGCTAACATCCTGTACTGTATCTGACTCCCATAAATGAAGTACTCCAGCGAATTTTTGCTAAAGGAGCAATACCCGCGATTCTGTAGGAATCGACACGCTAGCAGTGGGAAAACCAACCCCCACCGCCCAGCTGGCTGATCCCAGACTGGCGGCCTGCGTCTCTCTAGCTTCCGTCTCTATGGTTCGGGGAATCTCCAGGTCGCAGCTCGGCAGGTCTGACTTTTGCGCGTGCGTGAGCCCAAGCTCGTGCCCGCCCGCCCTCAACTGCCCGGCCCCGGGTGGGAGGGGTGGGTCTGGGAACATTGCTGCGGCTGTCGCCGCCTCCCCAGCGCCCGGAGCTTTTCTCCGGCCAAGCCTGCGCGGGGGGAGTCCTTCACTATCTCCTCGGGCGGCGGCCACCCGCCCCCAGATGGTTGGTCCGGAGGATGCCGGAGGCTCCTCGGGAAGAAACGCCAAGTTGCTCCCGGTCCCGGCGCCGGAGCCTGTGGGCCAGGACGGGAAGATGATCCGGGCCACGGGCGGCTTTGGCGGAGGCGTCGGCGCTGTGGAGCTGGCGGAGGAAACTGAGGAGGAAGAAGAGGAGGAGGAGACGCCGCCTCGTCAGGTCCTTCAGCATTACCTCGCGGCGGCCGGGGGGCAGCTGGAACCAGGGCTTTGCTACTGTTCGCTGTCCGCTGGTCAGGCCCGCGCACCGCCGCCCTCGTTAGCCCTGCGCTCGGACGCCTGCCCGCTGGGCTCGGACTCCAAGCAACGCGGCGGAGAGACAGCAGATGCCCGCACTCCGCGGCACCGAGGCATGACAAACGGGGATTCGGGCTTTCTGCCGGGCCGGGACTGTCAGGACCTGGAAGCGGCTCGCGGACTGGCCCGCCAGTCGCGCCGCCGCCGCCCCTGCGGCCGTCTCCGCCTGGAGGGGCCTGGCGACGAAGATGCGGACGGAGCGGAAAGCCCGTCTGACTGGGCCGCGCCGCTGGAGGACCCGCTGCGGAGCTGCTGCTTGGTGGCGGCGGACGCTGAGGAGCCCGAGGGCGCGGGCAGCGGCTCGGGGGGCAGTCTGGCCAGCGGCGGCAGCAGTAGCGAAGACTTAGAGCCGCCGGGAGCCGTCGCGGGGGCTTCCGAGGAGAGCGCGGCCCACGTCACCTCGGCCGAGAGGACTAGTGGGGACGCGGAGCCGCGTCTCGGCTTCGCTGACGTTCACTTGAACTCTCGGAACACTTACGAGGTGAGCCGCCGCCAGAGCTCCGGCGACCACCTTGCGCTGGTGGGGCCGCAGGTGCCCTCCTCGCCAGCGACGGAGCAGGGCCCGGCGGGGACTTCGGCCCGGGCTCGACGGAGCGGCGGTTTTGCTGACTTCTTCGCCAGGTACTGCGCGGGGGCTCGGGGCGGGGTCGGGGCCGCTGTCGGAGCCGGGAGCTCGCGGAGAGCGGCTTGGGTGGCAGTTTCCGCGCTGGCCCCGCGCGCGTCAGGATTTAGCTTTGATTTGTCAGTGGGAGAAGAGGAACTGGGTTCGCTTTGTGTTTCTGAAGGAATTGAGAGCTCAGTGGAGAGCGAGTCTTTCCTTGCCCCGCCGGGGGCCAGGCTATACCTGGCATTCACACCTGCTTACTGAGCTTTCACGTCCGGCCATCCTGCTAGTGACTTATCTGCAGCTGCCTCTTCCGGAAAAGGAGATAACCTTCTTCGTCCCAGTTTTTTTTTTTTTTTTCACTTGTACCACAAGATTTAGCTTGGTGGGGTGGTGGTATGCGTACGCTTGTGGTTGTGAAAGAGGAAAGAAAGTCATTTTGGAGATCTGTTTGTTTGCGTGGAGTCTAAACCCATTCAGGTGTTTTGGGAATTCTTGACGTTAGAAGTGGTTGTGTTTCATTCCTGTCAGTGGCCTTTATTAAAACGCAGGTAGTTTGGTGTTTAGAATTTCCTAGCCTTTTAAGCCAAATTACTATAAGCGCATTATCTAGGAAACTTCTCTCCTTTTTCCAGCTCTGCATTCACTTTTTTTGTTTTTTGTCTTTTGTGATTTGACTTGATATGCTTGGAACTGAATTATGGTGCTGGACGTTGTACATTTCAGGATGGAACTTTGTTGGTTTAATAAGACTAAATAAACAGAGAAATAGTCAGGAGATACTTAATGTACTTTACTGAAAAGCCGTTTATCTTGCGTTAGATTTTGACACGCTTAAAAAAAAATGTCCAGGCAAATAGGAAAATATTCCCAACTTTTAAAACTTTCCCTTTTAGAGTTCTCTGTCTCCTGTTTTCATTTCCTTTCCGGCGATCTTGACCATGACCAGAACAAATTCTGCAGCTCAGGTTTTTAAGGTTATACAATTCTTGTGCAGATTTGTAGACACAAGGACACAATTCTCTGATTGTAATTGATATTTCTTGTGCTTTTTCTACATTATTATGCTTTGTTTTTTTTGCTTGTTTAAATTTACAAATATGAAGTTTCTTAAATCTAGGGGGGGATATTCTAATTTTCTGTTACGAGTAGGATAAATATATAGTTGTGAAATCTATGTATGTACAATTGCAAAAATATATTTTCAGTTTGTAATGGCAATATTCTAAAAGATCTCAAGTTAGGTTTATGCCTTTGGGTGTTTATTGGTTATTGTATTTATCTTGGACTTTTTTTTTTTTTTTTGAGACAGAGTCTTATTTTGTTGCCTTCCGTAGAGTGCAGTGCTGTCATAGCTCGGAGTTCTTGGGCTCAAGCAATTCTCTTACCTCAGCCTCCCCAGTAGCTGGGACTACAGGTGCCCCCTGCTATGCCTGGCTATTTTTTAGAGACAGGGTCTCGCTCATGCTCGGGCTTCTCAAACCCTTCAGCTCAGGCAGTCCACCTGCCTTGGCCTTATCTTGGTAATGTTTTGAGGTCATTATCAGACCTGGCAGGGGCTTTGGAGATTACTAACTCAACCCGTATACACTGAGTGCTTTTTCTGTGCCACACATTGGAAATAGAGATGATATAGACAATGGTCCCTGACTTGGAGGTGGCGTGCAGGCTAATGAGGATTAAGTTTTTAGGTGGAGAATCTCCCTTCTTCTAAAGAAGGTAGTTTAGTTAGCGAGTGGCAGAGCACAACCTCTTTTCACTTTATCTCTCTCTTCTCTTTCAAAACCTGTTTCTGCCTCCCGTGCCATGGCGCCACAGCTCACAGCAACCTCAAAGTCTTGGGCTTAACCGATTCTCTTTCTTCAGCTTCCCAGGTAGCTGGGACTACAGGCACCCACCACAACGCCTGGCTATTTTTTATTGTTTTTGTTGTTGCAATTGTCGTCGTTTTAGCTGGCGCAAGCTGGCTTTGAACCCACCAGCTGGGGCGTAGGTGGCCAGCGCCCTATCCACTGAGCTATAGATGATGCCAAAAAAATTTTTTTTTGAGACAGTTTCATTATGTCGCCCTTGGTAGAGCACAGCAACGTCAAACTCTTGGACTTAAGTGGTTTCTCTTGCCTCTGCCTCCCAAGTAGCTGGGGCTACGGGCACGGGCCATAACACCCAGCTATTTTTTTTTTTTATTGTTGTTGTAGTTGTCAGTATTGTTTGGCCAGCCAGAGCAGGATTCGAACCTGCCAGCCTCAGTGTATGTGGCTGGTGCCCTAACCACTGTGCTGCGGGCACCAACCTAAAAGAAACTTTTTTTTCCCCCAGAGACAGAGTCTCACTTTGTTGCCCTCGGTGGAGTGCTGTGGTATCACAGCTTACAGCAACCTCCACCTCGTGGGCTTAGGCAATTCTCTTACCTCAGCCTCCCGAGTAGCTGGGACTACAGGCGCCCGCCACAATGCCCGGCTAAGAAACATTTTTTAAAAGTAGTTTTATGGACTCTGCACCTGTAGGTCAGCCGCTAGGGCACCAGCCACATACACCGAATCCAGCCTGGGTCTGCCAAACAATAGTGACAACTACAACCAAAGAACAGCTGGGCGTTGTGGTTGGTGCCTGTATCCCAGCTACTTGGGAGGCTAAGGCAAGAGAATCGCTTAAGCCCTCGAGTTTGGCATCCTGTGAGCTGTGATCCCATGGGACTCTACTGAGGGTAAGATGGTAAGACTCTGTCTCAAAAACAAAAAAAAAAAAAAGTAGTTTTATGTTTGTTTTAACGGAAGAGGGGGGAATATTTTACAGCAATGTATCTATTGCTACAAAGTGTCATGTTCAGTTAAGACACACTGACAGGCACTTCATTAACTACTGTAGAAATCATGGAAGTGATAGAGGAATTTGTTGAGAATAAGACTGCTTTCATTTTGCAGGGCCTTGGTAGTTAACTCCTGCTTTCCTTTACCTTCCATATGAGGTGAGTTCTATTTCAATCCCTGTTGGGAGTTTGCTTCAGCTTTACATGGAAACTTCTTTTTATTTATGGTGTTTGGCTATGGGAGCCATAGAAGAAACATTTCCTCAGATCCTTGACACTTTCTTGTGTGTCTATAAAAGATGCTTGATAGGTCTAACTATCCCCCATGTTCACCAACTTAGTGGTCAAGAAAAATGAAAAATTTTTTTTTAAATCTTTTGTGTTTCCAGGCCAGCCTTTGTTCCTCAAAGGTCTGTATTACTTTTTGAAAAATAGTTCTAAACCATTTTTGTGGGTCCCTTAAACAAATTCATTGTTTGTTTTCAAACTACACTGGTTTATTTTTTACATAGATAGACTTCATAGTTTTTTGTTGTTTGTTTTTAGGCCATTTAATATTTTTTGAGGCTTGTTAGGATTGCACTAACATACTTATTTACAGCTGTGTTTCCTGGTACTGCTGATAATCTGTTTACAGAGTTGTCAGTGTATCATAAGAATTTAGTATGCCCTAAAAGTCATAGCTAAGGTAGGAAAGAAAGTATTGAAAATTCTTTCTCCATTTGAAAAGAAAATCGACTTTATAGATTCTGAAATATACAGATCTGTGCAGATTTCCCTGTAGTTGTTGACTTCTGAAACTTCCTAAATGTTGTGGTAAAAACTTATTTTCAGAGAGCTCTTTTGACAACAGATGGGCTGAACAGGGATGACCAAAGGCTTTTTTAGTGAATTTTTAAATTTCAGGTCCTGATAGTTTCCATTCTCCCCAATGGAAAATTGATGAAAATATTTATTATTAAATATGCTGAAAATATTAAATTTCTACGGTTATCATTTTCCTTAATTTAAGGTTCTTGGAAACAACAAAACAGCCACATCCTTTTTTCCATCTAGAATTTGGACTAGTTGACAAAGTTATAGTTCACCTGACTGAGCCATCATAGACCTCTGTTTGATAGGGCTCCCTCATTTGTTCCATGGTATGTCTTTCTCTCAGATAACTAAAATTAAAATTACAATTTTCAAACCAGTTTCTTAAAAGAAAAACTCCTCTTTTTCAACTCATTAAATAAAAGTAAAATATGGAACTCCTAATAAAGTTTTAAATGATTTTTAAAGCTTCCCAAAACAAGTAGCTCCTTATACTGTTGTGGCATAATTATTTACAAGGAAAATGAAGGGAGACTCTATTGAGGTCAAACTCATGTTGTTAAAGGACCAACTGTGTGAATATAATTAAAATGTGTAAAATTGTAGAAACACTGAAAATAATGTATAATTAATTGTTCCGTAACAAAGACAAGAGTCTGTTAGGATTTTTTAGCATGGTGAAACAAACATAATATTAAATTGGGGAGCAAATGGCTTGGGAGCCTTTTTATAATTTTTCCCTGTATTTGACCCATTTCCTCACCTTAGATCCAGCATTTTCTTAAAAACAAAACAAAAACAACACTCTTGGGATCTATACTAAGCCAACAGAAATTCAATATTGGTTCAAGGACTTCACCTTTGAAATTTATGTTTTTGTCCGGGCACAGTGGCTCACATCTGTAATCTCAGCACTTTGAAGGCAGGAAGATATTTTGAGGCCAGGAGTTCAAGACCAACCTAGTGTTTCCCTGTCTCTACAAAAAATAAGAAAATTAACTGGCTGTGGTGCCGTACCTATAGTGCCAGCTACTCAGGAGGCTAAAGCAGGAAGATCATTTGAATCCAGGATTTTGTGGTTTCTGTGAGCTATGATGCTACTGCACTCTAACCTTCCTGTCTGGGTGATAGAGCAAGATTCTGTCTCCAAAAAAAAGAAAAAAGAAATGTGATAACCTGAATACAAATTAGGTAAAATGTATTGGGAAACTCCCAATCTTTGTGGAACTAAAAGTTCCACAAACTTGAGTGCTTAAGTTTAAGCATTTAAACATAAAAAATTGTTGAAGTGCTATGTAAAATTAATATTTTTACAGTATACCCCAGTAAGCAAAGTGAACTGTTAACTTGGAGTTATTTGTTTGATAGAAATCTTCTAAACTGTCCAAGGTGAGC